AGTAGTAGTAGTAGTAGTAGTAGTAGTAGTAGTAGTAGCTGTTGTTGTCGCCGTCGCAGAAGCAGTAGCAGTGATTCCTTCCACATTAAAAACGGGGACCTGCACCCCCTTTCAAAACCACAAAGAAACTCCGGTTGTTAATACGTCCGCAAAACAGAGAGAGCATGGGAGACCCCCAAAGATGGGAATCCAGGCCGCCGCTGTTGCTTTTTCTGCTCTTCCTTCTGTTGTTGCCGCTCCTACTGTAGCTGGTGCTTTGGCTGTTCTTAATTTGCCATTGTTTAATTTCAAGATTGTGCTTTCGCAGCGCACCCTTTTGCATGCAGCGCTGCATGACACCGTGTTGGCATCAAGATTCTTGGAGATGATGGATGACCTGCCTGACAACCCGGAGCAGCTCGACTGGGAGCAGGATGAGGACTAGTTGCTATATGAGGATGTGAGTGGATTCCCATTCATGGCCATCATCAGATGATTGTTGGCTTGATTCTGGAGAGCGGTAAAAAAACACTGGCTTGAAAAAAGAAGCTACCGCCTACCCGAGCCATGGGTCATGATGGTGGGGATGACCATGTGCTATTTCAGGCAGTTGCCAACCATCCCACTGATCACACCTCCATGTGGAGTTCCCACTAACTTTGAGGCACATGGAGGGATGTGAATCAAGAAGGCTGGTGGTGGTGATCCAAAGAAGCAGTTTTGTTGCAGTGGATGATTTTGTTATACCATTTGTAAATACTTTGTGCCTTGGCAGCAGTAGTAGTAGTAGCAGCAGCAGCAGCAGAAGTAGTAGTAGTAGCAGCAGCAACAGAAGTAGTATAGGAGTAGTAGCAGTAGTAGTTGAAGGAATAGTCATGGCGGTCACTGCAGCAGCAGCCACAGCAGGAGTAGTAGTAAGTAGCAGCAGTCGTTGTCGTTGTTGTGGTTTTTGTCGCAGTAGTAGCAGTAGTAGCAGCAGCAGGAGGAGAAGCAATAGCAGGAGTAGCAGTAACATGTAGTCCTCGGTCATCCTCGGTCACTTTGTTTTAGATTAGCTTGAAACGTCCGTTCCTACCTTGAGAAGAGGTGGTTGGATCCACAAGGATCATGGGCGCTGGGTCGAAGATCCACTCGCACCCCTCTCTCAGGCGCTGGCCAATGGTGCTCCGCCCAATGCTTGGCCGCACAACTGGCTCTGCTTGGGACTTCCGGTGGAGCCGGCTTGCGGCGGGACGCAATCACTGCCAGCAGTGTGGTGGGCACTTTTGACTCTGAGCAAAACGTTAGGATCGGCCAGAGCTATGGGTTCGGGGTTTTGGTCTTTGGCTTTGACCCAGGCCTCATCTAGGGTAGTCATGAGGGTTTTAAACATACCCATTCATGGAGTGGTTTTGGTTTCACTTGGTTGCTCACATGCATTTTTCAATATAACCGCTTATGAAGGTGAAATTGTGAAACATTTCGTGCTCAATCATTTCACCCCGAGGTATGTTGTTGCAATCCATCTTTGACAAACATTCCATATTGTGGCGCATGAACGCTAGCCGCTAGACATTTACAAAGGCCAACAATCACAACATGAGTGCATTCCCCTTCAGCTTATAGAGGAAATTGGTTCGCCTTCAAACATGTTCAAACCCTACCTCAATCAGTTGTGGTCTTTTGGGGAACAACAAACAGTTCTCAGACGAATCCACACAGTTTACTCCGGAACCTCCACGCCTGCGGTGTGCTGTTGTTTTCGGGTCGGATTTACAGCCTCCTTTGAACCATGAAATATCAAACCGTGCGAACGACAAGGGCTGCGGACAGTGAACGGATGTGAACGGCCAGATTTGTTCTCAGCATGGCCTAGATCTTTTGCCCCCTCTCCCCCTCCAAAAACCTTCCCTCATCACTTGAGTCCGTTGTTCACCGGCCCTGCTGGTGATGTTTGCCATCATTCTTTGACTCACGACTCGCGGTCTCGGTGCGGCTGGTGCCCACTGGCGCGGCCCAGGAGCAGGCACGCTGGCCTCGGGCATTGGACGCCTTCGGATCGATGGCGCAAGCAGATGTGCAGCTCAACGAGCCTCGGCGTGGCTCGTGGTTTCTCGGGTGTGGCGATCGCCAGGAACCCCGTTTTCGAGTCGCGGCCTTGTTCCTAGTAAGGCCGTTCGTAGCGTCCTAGTACACAAAACACATACAGCCGCTATACTTGATGGGAGATGTGAGCTCGATGGCTACAATATGTTGGTTGTTGCTGCAAGTGACCAAGACTTGGGAGTCCAAGGACTTGAGCAATCCCTTCATCATCCAGGTAAAGATGCCAGCTGCCAGGACTCAGCAGTCTTGGCCCCCCCGCACACACACACACCCGGACGAAACCTCGTTGCCCCGCGCCTGGGTGGGTGAGGAGTCTGACCGCGTCTTGCGAGATGTATGTTGTGTGGTGTTGGGGGATGTTAAATCCTATATATCATGTGCAAAAGAACAGAATTGTATAGGATAGAGGGCCCTGGTTGTAGGTGGGCATTGTTGAAGGATGTTGAAGGCATTTTGGAAAAAGACAAGTACCTGGAGGCTTCAAAAACACCGAGTAGTCAGTGCGACTCTCCATCTCAGGTGTTATAGGATGTCTTCCGAGCAGGGTAACAATTACTAACTAATGGTTCTTGATCGGCCAAGGACTTCACCTTTACCTCTTTGATCTCTGCCGTCGACCATTGGTCCACTACACTCCTCTTGCTGGAGTCGATGACAGCGCGAAGTCTGCAGATCACTCCAATGACATGCTCAGCAGCGCTGGCACGTGCCTGGGCTGGTGCTGAGCTCCGTTGAAGCTTTGTTCATGGAACTAGGTCCCCTGGACCTGTAGACTAGACTTCCCAAACCCACCCCAACTTGAGATCCCTGAATCAATGCTTGACATCTATAGCTTCGGGTCGGCTGGGTGGAGGAACACAGGCTTCGTCGGTTCGTCGTCCTTTGCGATGTGAGCTGGGCCCCGCACACTGACCTTCCGGGAATGGGAGCGACGTATCCTGTGGCAGCGGCAGTAAAACGTGTTTAAATAATGCCTTTTCAAAAGGGGAGTGCAATGATTTGGCAGGAATTGAAGTTTGGCCACATTGCAGGTGCTTGTGAGGGTCACTGGCAAGCAGCTTTGGCACTTCTTCATAGCATGATGCAGACTCATTTGGCAGTCAGTGGCATTCAGGTGGGTCTTGCAGGGTTTGGCAGGGTTCAACGGATGCTTCTGCGAGTTCCTAAAAAGCATGTAGCACCTCTCGTTCTGAACTGGGTAAAAGGCCGCGGTTGGTTGAACGTGTTGTATACTGTCAATTTTCAAAACCACCATCGAGACATATCAAGACACTAAGCCGCTAGGCTCAGTCTTCTGGTAGGTGATTAATTTTTCATGGTTTTGCCAAGACTTGCCTTTTGGGATTAGAGCCCGGAGTTCGATGAGAAGTGTATCTTTTCTCACTCCGTACTGAGACCATCACCTTGGGATGTTTTTGGTTGTTTTATGGGAGCAGCTCATGGACGTTGATATAGGAGATAATATATTGATTCATCATAGATTCAATCAAACTATTTGTTCTCACTTGCAGTTTTGCTTTGACACGTAACTTGTTGTTTCCCCTCTTTGTTCTTACTTAACACACATTTTGATTATATATTTGATTCCTGGCAGCCACAATAAGTAATCGTTGAAACCGCTGCTTGGAAGGTGGGTGCTCTGCTCGAGAGTGCATCCTCCTTGGGAAAGCCGCAAATGTTGGGTCTGCTGAAGATGCCCCTTGGAGAGATATGCCGAAAACCACTCCCTGGGCAAGTTTCGGATGGCCTAGCAGAGGTAAAATCATCATAGAAGTTTCAGAGTAGATGGCACAATCACCTTCAGTTGTTCCTTTCTCTATGGACCCCCATCTTTAAAGACATTTATAAGGGGTGTGCCATCTACTTGGCCCACCACTGACTGTACATAGCTCGCTCGAAATGCGCTGGGTGGCCGTTAGGCCCGCTCCAACGGTCAGACTCCATGCGACTGCCAGTCCGGACTGCCGCCCCAGACAGACCCCCCTTACACCACCCCAAGCCAGGTCGGCAGTCCGCAGTCCCATGGGTCGTGTCTGGGATTGGTGGAACATGTTCTCGCCGTGTGGACGGGGCAAACTGAGGTGATGAATTCTGCCGCGCTGTGATCTGGAGTCAAGATGATCCTGAGAGATTTATGATATACTGAATGACCAACTGGATGGCAGTAGATTTCCTGGAATGACCAGCTGGTTTCATCTTGGTCTAATGTTGGTGTAGCCTCCTCAGCTGGAGTTTTGCCACTAAAGCATCCCCAGACACCCAGACTACTGTTGAACACATCCAGTTCACCCTCCACTGAGGCTCAAGTCCTGGGCGAAGCCCTGCAGGCAGAAGGATCGGTCCTTGGAGGAGCTTCGAGTCCAAAAGTTGGATGACAGTTGGACCATGTTGGACCCATGAGGGTTAGGGTAAGAGTAAGAGTTTGATCGGAAGATGTTGGTTGGATGGATTTGGATGGTTGCTTTTGCCGATGCGAACGGGTAGGTTGGGTTGGTTGGCTTGGACGGACGGCTGGTAGGATGGTGAGCGGATGTCGCTTGGGATCAGTGAGCGGATTGTTTGTTGGCTGGAACGAAGTGGGCCTCAGCAATGTGGAAGTCTATGGAGATCTATAATGATCTATATAGAATCTAGTTGCATGACCTGCCAGCACTTGGAATTGGCAGCTTCATAGGCATATTTGGCAGCAATGCCAGCCTTGGGCATGTTGCCCAAACAACCCAATATGCCGTTTACTCTATTACATTGTGCATGCAAGACGAGCCAATGCGACATGATCCTCCAGATATCCGCCGGGTACCTGGGGGATAGACTGCAAGCTGCTGGGATTGTGCTATTTGCGTCTTTGCAGTGTATATCTAGAATCATATTCAGATATATTCAGGATGTTTGGCGATATAATATACGATATGCTCCATTGGAGATGCACAAAATCAAATTCCTCCTGCAGGAGCAGCTTCTGCTCCACCTCCCTCCCTGCAGGAACATCTCATCAGACCCCGTCTGCGGAGCTATCCATCCTTTGATGAGCTGCCCATCGTCTTCGAGGAGTTAACGCCATTTTTGCTTTGGGGGGTTTGCTCCCCCTGAGTCAAAGCTCCTTCGGGTGCGACCCGCTTTCTTTTTAACCTCTCAAAAGAGGGTACTCAGACTACTCAGATACTCATTGTACGAAGACGGTACTCCATCGCGGGTGACGGTGAGTGCCAGGAAATCCTTGTTCAGATCATCAAAGGATTGACAGTAGCAACATTGGATCGGCAGCAAGTTATATACTTCAGGATGAGTCCCTTGTGGCAGTGGCCAAGCCCTTTGGCGTTTCCTCCGAAGACTGCACCTTGGCGATGTTTGGGCCCTTCAGTGACTGGCTCCATTTCAATGACTGACCATCTACGACCAGCTTCAGGTGGACCGTCTGAAAGCACTTGGGATGACCTGTTGAAGATCTGTCACGTGAACCGGAGTGTGGGATGATCATGGACTCAAAGTATGTACATGTGTTTCCTTCGCTGGTGCCGATGACGATTTCGGCCTGGGCTTTCCTAAAACAGTCCTCCAGTGGCGCAAAACAAGGAACTTATAGATGAAGAGACTGGTTGGAGTTTCCACGATACATGATCCTGACAACTCATCAACATTCCAGCGTTCCATTCTACCAATCAGGAGCACGGGGTTCTCAAACATACGGCCATCGACGGGAACCCCTCTTGGGTTCCTCTTGGGTTCCTAAAGAGACAAACTCACTTTGCATGGGCTAAAACTGAAACCAAAAAAGAACCAAAAAGCTTCCGCGAACCAAAAGCGAACAAAAGAGACCAACGAACTTAAAAAGCGTCCGCTTCACCAGGCCTTCAGATGTTGGCCTCCAAGTTCCCGGCGCTCACCCGCCGCTTGGAGGGGTCGTAGACCAAGTTCCCACGGGGCGTTGTAGAGGAAAATGGCTTGAAAACCGGTCCACCAATTCAGCTTCCATGTGAATTGGTGGAAGGAATGATAGTTTATAATATGTTTATATATCACGTTTTACATTGGAATTTTGGGACAAAAGGAATCTGAGTTTCCAGGTCCACACCATGGAGATGATGAGTATAGTGGTGAGTATAGGCTGTGAACCTTGAAATGAAGAGACCCTGGAGAGGATCTGAGAGTCCCGAAGAGTCTCCCTGTTTGAAGGTCCAACTCATGGGCAGACCTGTGGAGACCCCGACCTCATCCAAGATCCATGAGTCACATGAGTCCTGTACGCAATGACTGAGACTCCGATGATATAAATCCATGTTGGGTTTGAAGCACCATTGACATCCATGAGTTTTAAGCAAAATAACAATACAAATTGCTGGATTTCAAGACCCAGGACATCCAAGACCTCCTCCTTCGATCATCCAAGACCTCACCGGGCGCCTGGTCGCCACGAGGCCTCTCTCGTTTGGATTGGCCCACCTCCGGGCTGTTGCTGGCGGCCAAGGGAACCCCCGCCAGTGAGACGTGCCGCGGCGAAGACTTCAGACGTGTCGCAGGAGGAGAGAGAGATGGCAAAAGGGTCAATCCGTGGATGACAGGTCAAAGAAAAGACTTGACTTTTTGCCAATGTGGGCCTCTGAGAAAGTGAAAAGGTACCGTACTTAGGCCCTAGGCCTTTTCATGCACAAGTTGCTGCACAACACAGAGAATGGTGGGGAACCAGGAGCTTTGGGTACAGTTCCGATGCGTGAGCAAGGGCCAGAAAAGATCTGAAGAGTTTTGGAACTGAACCGCCATTGACGTAAAACACTGCAATCATTATGCATAATTTGACATGTTTTACAAAGTCAATGGCGGTTTTACAATTATTCCAAACATTATGCAATCATGATGCTAACTCCTAGTGCCTTTTTTGACATGTTTGGCAAACATGTTTTAGAAACCGATACGAAACGATACGAAACGAGACCTGGAGGGATACCGCAGACGTCCAGTCGTAGCCACCTCCCCATGTGTAGAGCCACAACTCACTAACGCTATTGGCGTTTCTTCATGCCACGTAGCAAAGAGCTTGTCGAAGGCCATTGTAATTTGATGAAACAATAATGACTCACATGTGGTAGCTTCTAAGCGGAACCACAAAGAATCCTTTGGGTTGAGATTGGCTTCTTTATTTGATTGGGACTATGTGGAACGATAGGGAACCTTGAAGAGGGATACCATGGCAGAATTTCTTCCAACCCCACCTGTGAGCTATGTTACTCCGCGATGTGCTGCCTATGAAGGCCTGTCTCTCACAATCCGACTAGTAGGGATGGTTTTGAGGGTGTCGGTGTATAATATTCTACGCACGCATCAGTATTTTGCATAGTTTGCTTTTCACCAACTGATGTCTCCGTGACTCGTGACAACTGACTACTCCATGCGGCATGCGCAAGAAGAGCTGACTTTGTGCAGTTGTAGTTATAGTTAGTAGCTAGTGGCCAGTAGCTATGGAAACTGCTGGGGAAAACATGTGTTCAAAAAAAATCCAAAGACCACTCTGTGTCTTCCACATGACGCAATCGTTCAGTTCTTCACATCGCCGTCTTGTTCGCGACCCTCGTACCGTAGAGGCGCCAGCCTCGCAGGTCCTGGTGGTTTCTGGCGCAGTTTGCCGGGCGTTTGGTCTCCAAGAGGTATTTGTGTTTGGTGGCCGGTGCCTTGGTAGTTGGGGGAGGCGAGAAGATGGGTCGAAGATGGGGGGCGGGGGTTTGTGGGACATCACGCAGTATCATACAAGTGACTGGGGGCCAGCACGGGGAACGTTTTCTGTATGGATGTTGTATCAGTGTCAGTCAAACGGCAATGGCATGATTTGGCATGATTTAGCATGATTCAACAAACATCGGATCATAGGATGATGTGCTTTGACTTTGTTTGTCAGATGAATCTCGAAACAGGTCATGTTTGCTGTTTGGCTTTGTCACCAAGACACGCAAAGCCCAGCAGTCGTTCGAGAGTTCAGCTCAAGTTGTTTTCTTGTTTAATGTTGCCGCAAGAGGTGCGAGGTGGGATGCAAGCAGCAAGAGCTAGCTATCCATCAAACTGAAGTCTAGAGATGGTAGCCCAGTAAAGGTTGATACAAAATTGTACACTCCAGAAACCAATGGGAACATTGCCAAGCCAGCTCAGTCTCGAAAACAAACAACGGCTCAGTTTGAGGGTTCTGGGGACAGAAGGTGAGGGATGTTTGCTCCGTGATCATCCATGTTCTATTTGGACAGGTTTCAAGCAGTAGATGCCACAAACCCTTGATGTTTCGATCGGGTTGCCATTTGATATCACCATGTCTATGGCAGCGTACCGTGATTTGTCTTGGTCTCCATATTATCACGGTCGGTTTCAGTCGCTTTTGGCCTGGACCGCATCCGTGTAAACCCCAAAACGAGCCTCAAAACGGGCTCAGGCTGTCACATTGTCGGCGAGGGAGATGAAGGGAGGGCCTCGACAATCATGCGGCAGTGCCAATGAAGAAGACCAAAGACCCAAGGCTACAGGTTTATTCCTTTGGATCCTTGCTCCTTTTTGAGGTCGCTTTCGCCGCCTCACATTGCCTTTCCCAAGGCGACGCAGGTGCCGTTGGGCATTGCGAGGAGATTGCTAAGCCCTTGCAGGTTGGGGGGGCTGTTTGGGTTCAGGGGATCCTCGCTGGGCATCATGATGACTGACGAGCTGGCCTTTTCCCGCCCTAGAAAGTCAGTTGTTTCAGTCCCAACATGGACCATGGAGAGGTGCTGCGCCTCACTCCGCATCCCAATTGGCCAACAAAAGCGGGAGGTACTGGGTCCAACGTTTCGGATTTTGGGGAGACTGGAGACCTCGTCATGGTGAGCTCGTGGGTTTTGAAACACCTCGTCATGGCCCGGCCCGGTGGCCCCCCAAGTCATTGAGTGATTCACTGCCAAGTCCTGAATCAGCTGGTGAGGACTGGGATGTGACAGTGGGAGGAGTGTTTTTTAAGTTGAAATCATGCTGGTACATTTGTGAGCAGTATACATTCTTTTCCTGATACCAGTTTGAATCCCCAGAGAACGACGGACTCCCGGTGCCGCTCGGGTCATGATGAGTCATAGATGTTCAAGTCCGGTCCGACCTGGAGAGGTGGATTTTGAGAAGTCTCCTGGTTCTTCAAAGTAACCGAACTTGATAACCTGGTTGGTTCGGTCACTTAAGCCTCCTGTTTGGGTCACTTAGGAACCTTCAAAAGGTCACGAACTGAAGAAGCTGGCTGACATCACTTGGCAAAGCTTTTTCACAGGTTGTGAAAGGCACAAGCTCCAGCTCTGTGGAAGTTCTGGAGGAGGGTGAAGAGGGCCTGGCCGCCCGCACACGAGACCTGGCAAAAAGGAGAACCGCGGCGGAAACAGATACATGCAGTGGACCCGTCGCCATGATGAGGAAAGAAACAAGGAGACACACATCAGAGGATGTTCAGCTGTTTGTTTCCTCAAGTGTCAATCTTCATCAGGTATGATTTCTCCATGTGTCCTTTAGTTCCTGTGGTCTATCCTTCAATTTTGGCTGTTGAGACTTGCTTGACCGCGTTTTGTTTTTGCTTTATTTTTTTCCGGCCTAATTCAACATCAAGAACCAGGTGACCAAATGTATCGATAAATATCCAACACGAGACAGCCAGTAGCAGAAGCCCTGAGGTTCATTTGGATGACACAACATCTATTCCCCTGGAAGGCTGTAATAGCAGCACAGAGCAGAGGTGTTGCCACAATCCACGAGCACTGCCGATCCCTCTCACAGATCTCCACTCCCAGCAGTTGATCCGTCTCCATTCCACGGTCTTCTCCGCGGTCTCCTCCACCCCTGAGGTATCACGTGTCTCGCCCTCTATGGAAGCGGAGGCCTCGCTTCGCAGCCGGCGGCCTCGCTGCTGCTGGCGGAGCCCTTGACGGGGCGGACGCATCAGTTGCGCGCGCACCTGGCGCATGTGGGCTGGCCCATTGTGGCCTGATGCGCAGAAGAAGAGCAGATGTTGGCGAAGACAATCGGGTGTTTTTTGAAGGGGGATGGGGATGGGGAGAAAGAAGGAACCAGTTGATGAATCAAGTTCAGGCTGATTGAAGCCACTGTTAAAAAATGATGATCCGGAAAAAACGAAGCACAAGCCATTTCTTCTAGGCTCGAAACCATCGCTGTTCGACATACAATGGCTTCAAAAGTGTGGTTCAGGGAAAACATGTTTCAGGGTGTGGATCCTGGAATTCTTTGCATCCAATGGCCAAATTTGAAAACCGTTTTCCATTCCAATCCCTTAATTGGTCAGGAGTTTGACGGCCATCACAGATGACCCTTGGATGTTTTGAACAAATTCACCTATAGGTTTACTTAGGGTGATGTTATTTTCCCTATGACATGTATGAGTAACTCACCCTTCACGGATATATATATATATATTTTTAAATACTCGTTTCCCTGTTCAACAAGCAAACCCAACTTAACAGAGCTTCCTTGGGCCTTCGGCTGCCGCAGGCTGTTGTCCAAAGTCTACACCACACACCAAGAGCTTGCCACAGGTTACCACAGAACATGCGGGAACACCCATGGTGGACATGTTTCACCGGTGGTGGCGCCGTTCGAGGTGGGGGATGCTACCTATGCGGCGGAGGGACATGCGGCAGAGGTCTCTTCTTGGTGTCCAAGGCTCTTCTTGCATTGCTTCCTGGTTGGCAGATCCCAAAAAGTTCGAAGTTTGTTGTCTTTCTGTGGAGTCTTCTTCAGAGATGAGTTTGGGGAGTATATACTCGGAATCCGTGCTTAAAGGATGTTAAAGGCACCCAAACGTACCGTGAACGTGCCCAACAAGTTCCCGTTGATCGGTCCACCATCGAGAGCCCAAAGGCCCGCCTTTGAACGCCTCGGTTTGAGCCTCGCACCATCGATGTCGAATGCCATCCCAAGATACTTAGATTCTTCCTTCCAATTTGCATGAGCTTCCAAAGCAATTTTGTGATAAACGTCCACTCACATGAGGAAGTCTGTGTCTTTGTGGCTTGCGACTTGCGTTTAACAGTTTAACATTTGAGATCAGACCTTCACTCGAGGCTGGCAGATGGATGTCTTCGCATTGAATGGTCAGACCATGACTCTTCAAGCGGATCTTCCCAAGGTCTCTAGGTCCAAAAGGATTGAATCACGCGGAGAGCACGGTCCAATCACCAAGGGTTGCGGTTGCCGCGGTTGCTATTTCCAGTGACTTGCGATTCAACAAACCTGATCACCCGGTGCATGAGATTAAACAGGTATTAGGAAGAAGTAGTGTTAGCTGAACCCTTTCTTGAACCGTCTTCTGGCTTTCCCCGCAGGTCCATCAAGTAAACCCAAGCGAACCGATCGTGGCTCAACACTCGATTGCTTGTGCTGCTGCGCAAGCATGAGCTGGATGAACAGGTTTAGTCTCTTAAGGTAAGGGGGTGAGCACATTCATGAACTATGGTCATATCACTACTAAGTCTAAATTTCACCTCTCAGTAAGATGGTCTACAAATCATTACCAATCCATCTTCAACTCTCGGGCCAGGTTTCTTGCTTTGTCTCGATACATTTTTGTAGGGTTTGATCGGCCGCATGGTGTGGAACACCTCATGTTCTCTGTCACCAGACTTCACGCGACTAAATCTCCCGTCGTCAATGGCGAGGTCTTACGCGATGCACTCAAGAGCTTGAAGCTCCAAGATGGTGCTTTGCCTGACGAAAAGAACCGCTGCCACATCCTCGCCCGCGGACGCGCAGAGCTGTCGAGGGTGAGGAGGGTGAAGAGTGAGATGCCAAGAGAGCAGTAACTATAAAGGGATCAGCCACACGTTGACTATAAAGGGATCACATAGTATATAACAGTGCCAGTAATTAACTAGGAAGGGATCACGGTTCGTCACAGTTTGTGTTTGTAGCTACTGTAAAAGCTTTTGGGGCGCTTTTTATCTCTACGAGTGAACGGTATTGGTCGCCAGCAGGCCAGCCAAAGACTTGCAGTTGGCCGCAAACCCACCCCGTTCACATTTTTGGCAGAGACCTGCGGGATACCGGTTACCTGCAGGGGGACATTTGCAACATAACTGGGGAATCTCCTGGCACCATGCAAGTTCCCGTAGCATCCTCGGCCAGTTGCTGACACCTCCTCGTCCTCCGAAGGCTGTGGACCCGCCCGTTTTACGTGGTGTTGCGTGGACACGTGGGGAGTTGCTGGTTCAAGCCATATGAAGTCATAATATGAAGGATGGAAATTGTGGTTCTCAAATAAGTCAGATACCATCCAAGGTCCTGTAACATCCTATAAACATGAATTCTTCGACATGTGGTTTCGCTGCAGAATTGGATTTGTGACAAGAGCAGCGTTGAGAACGGATCTTGAATCCGTGAGCGTTGAGAGCAGGAATTACTTGTTCTTCCATCAGGTTTCAAAGGGACAAGGGAAGCGGGCCTGTCGTCGTGTCGTGCTCGGGTCTGGGGAACGACCTCCAAACAGGACCAGGGGAACGACCTCATACGACCTCCAACGACCGAAAGCAATTCACCAGTGGGTCAAAACCCTCCAAATCAGCAGTTTTTTTCACACGGGTTCTACAAGGGATCCACAAAGGCGCTGGTGGTTTCGCGCCAGAACAGCGGAGCCAGGACCCCTTGGCCGCTCCGCACACCAAAAAGAACCTCGCAAACACCGACGTCGGGTGCGTTTCTTCTTCTGCTCGGAACCCGAGCGAAACTGAGGTTGGGTCACAGGGTCACCCATGTTGCGAAACCCTAAGGGAAGATCAAGCACCGATGAGTGTGAGGGTGAGACTGTGATGTGTTTGATCAGACAAACACTTGTTCTCACACCGGGACACCGGTAAGAGCGTGATACATACAGGGATGGGTATATCATCCATCATGCATATCTTGGATATTTATATATGCATATAATATATATATATGGATGCAATTTGGAGTTTTCAATTGCTCCCCTGAAAACGGGACATTACCAGGAATTCCTATCTTTTATTGATTGTGGGCACCCCGCACCGTTTGGATCGCTTTGGTCACTACCTCCAACGCGTGTGCAGGAGAGAAAATCTGAGACGCATCCTCTAGAAGTGCTTCGCTTGTGACGTCGCGTCGATTTGCATCTGCTCCAAACAAGAAGTCTCAGCAGTCTTGTGTATTTGTGTATCTATGTACGCTGTATGCTGGTTTCTGTGTTCAGAATTAGCTTCATGTATTTTAACTTCTCCATGCATGGATGACATTTGCCATTTCCGATACAGTGTTTCTACGCGTAAGACTAAAGGTGTGCTTTGATGATCGTTGCACCCTTTGTCACCTCGGATATAATCTGATCTACTGTAAGTATATGCAAGCTCCCCCCAAAAAAAAACATATGATTGAATGGTTTGGTACCCTTTATTATATATACTTGGCGTGTGTGTGTGTGTGCGTTCATTTCCTTACAAACACCGTGTTCAACACCTCAAGAGAGTGGTATCTCTTTGACTCTCAGCTGCAGACGGGAGATATCAGCGATCAGTCGGAGATATTACGTCAGCAAGCGATCAGACTGGAAGCTACACCATCGCCCCATTTGGTGCGACAAATCCACAAGTGAGGGTGGTTACGGACTCCCACTCCCACTTGTCAAGGTTGGGTTGGCCGAGATTTGCCGTGCAAGGAGTTTCCTCATGGGGTGGTTGTTAAGATTCTTATTGTTTCGCTTGATTAGAGATCCACGCTAGCTCAATATATGGCCAGCCTGGAAAGAAAGCTTGAACAAGTGTTGTGTTTGCCCTTTCTCAACAAACAATTGGTCCAACAAATGCAAATTTAGAGCAATAAAAGATCAGATTCACACACACACACCAATATCTGAAGTTTTTGCTTCGGTTGTTGATGATCATTAGATAAGTTATCATGATGAGCGTGAAAACACATACTATTACCACTGGTACCATGGTAATGATTGTTGTTGTTCACCCTTGCAACTACGCCTTGTGTTCCCTTTACATGTGAGTGAGTCTCAAGGAGCTCCACGTCGGGTCGGCATGTTTTGGAGTGCCGTTTGAGTGGTGGACCAGGGAACCACAGGGAACGGATTTGCGCACAGTGGTGCTTGATTCGTTTGTTTGGATAATCTTTGTTCATGGTGGTAAGGATTGGATGATTTTTGAGAGGAACCTCAACATGTTTGCTCCTCCTAACCTGCTTTGTGTGGGTCCTTGGCTGCTTGCACAACCACCTGGAGTACTGTAGATAAAAAGATGAAACCATCTCAACACCAGAACATTGCAGCACAATTATGCTCTAAAGTCATTGTTTATCGTATTGCACACGCTCTTCCTGGTGGTCCACAGATGGTCTATAGAAGGAAGCTTGAACCCTTTGGACACGATCCAAGGGAACGGTTGGACAGAGGAAGCTCCAGTCGAAAGTCTCCCACTGAACCCGCTTCCTGCAAACCCTTCTCGAAGGTCGTCGGATGTTGGAGTCCAAAACTTCCCAAACACGTTCCAAGAGTTTCACGGAAGACGCTCAACCCCCTGAGTTCACTTGGTCAAGCTCGCTTTGGCATGTGTGTGTGTGTTTGTGTTTATTGGTCTATACCCTTTCACCGCATGTTCCCCTATGGTCCACCAACGTTTTTTCGCGAAGCTTCGGCGGCGAGTCCTGCGAAGCAGGGCTGTCTTTTTCCCTCCAAAGCTTTCGTGAGTTAGAGCAAGTCAAAGCGAGAAAGACAGCCATGGATACTTGGATGGCTAGGCTAGGTGGCTGCGAACTTTTCTTGAGGAAAGCAAACTTTTCGCCAATGACGGAAGTAACCAGGGTCTCAAGTCACTTTGAAGAACCATGTCTAAGCCAAATGGAGTTCTTAGTGGATTTGTAGAATCGACTGCGCAGCACGACCACGGACCCTACAGAGACTTCGGGTCAATTCTTGAATACCCAAGCAAAGGAATGGCAACCTTTGGAGGACAACCACAAAAAAAGAAGAATCACATGTTGATATGTTTTGCTGCATCTCATGTTCCGTCTAAGAGAAGGAACCGTTGATTCCCCCTTGATTGATGCTGTTCTCATAGCATGTTGGAATGACTCCTATAAGATTTGAGATGAATCGGATGAGGTCGAGGTATGACCCGAAGCTCATGGAGCCACGAACCTTGTGAAGCTCCGGCTCCCCAAAAATCTGGAGTTCCCCTGCCCCCGTGACCGAGGATTCCCTGTCACTCCTGGAATCAAACCTGGTAGCTTCTTGTTACTATAGTAGTAAGGCCAGGAGCACCGGTTCGTAGCGTCCGATCGCTCCGTTCGGTTCGCGATGCCCCTTGTTCCGTTCGTAGCGATGCTTTTATTGGCTACAATACATCCATTGTTGAAACCTTGATGTGTGAAATGATCCTTGAATCCTTGGCGTCAGAGAGGTGCTGCAACCCGATTTGCTCATTGACGTCCAAGGCAAGAAGGTGCCACTCGCAGTGGGTGAAGTGTGGACGAGATGTCGCGACCTGTGTCAACATAAAGAACAAGCACTGACCAACCTATACCTGGAACTTCGTTACGGCAATAATAATTGCCGCTTTCATGAAACGTCGCCTTTTTCCGTTCTGCGGCGTTCTTCCATATTGATCTCATGGGGACGGCGTTTCTTGATGAACTGCGGCAGTTTCGGTCAGTTGATGGCAATTTTGGTCCACACATCCATGCGCCTCAAAGAGTCATTTCGTTTTAGTTTTAGTGCAGGCGAGTATGAAAACATTGGAGGGTCTTGCTTGAAAGGCAACTGAACGTAAAAGGCGTCTTATTATATCAGCAAACTCGCATAGTCATGTGAAGTGGAAAGGGCAGCTGATGGAAGTGTCACATGCTGGGTTTTCGTCGGTTTTCGCGGGTAACTCGACCTCTTGCGCGGCGTTGCAGAAGATTTTGCGTTTAAAGTTACGGCGCTCTTACCCGTACTTTCGGCGTTTTTCCCTGTACTTACGGCGTTTTTCCCCGTACTTACGGCGTTTTCCCCTACTTACGGCGTCGTTCCCTTACCCTGTCTAGGGCCACTCAAGGTGGCAGCAAGACTTGTCACAACATGTCACAAGCGATCCTTTCAGCCATTGCATGATCAAAATGTGAACAAATCCTGCCGTGATCTCAATCGAGACCTTAGACAAGGGCTGCAACATCTTGAGAAGTGCTACCATGAGGTTTGAAAACGATGAGCTCTACTTACAAGTGAAAAAGGAGAAGGCAATTTCAGGGTATGGACGGACCAAAACAATATCCTCTTTGGTAGATCAAACAAAACGGCGATTCTTCTTTTGTGACGGCGCTTTCACTTCTCTGACGGCGTTTTCACTTTCCAGGGATTGAGCTACGGCAGAAAAAATGAGTTACGGCAAAAATTATTGCCTCAACAGCCTACGGCAAAAATTATTGCCTCGGGAGGGTCTAGGTATAAACCTTGGCACAGGCCTTTAGACCTCGACCCCTGCTTTCATCGGTTCAAGGGCTCTTCCAGTGTTGTGGCTGTCGGTCACTCACTTTGTGTAAGAATCTCCTGTTGTTGGATCCAAACGCATCCAGTTTGTAGCAACAGGCAGATGCTTGCCGTGATCTTGTTTGCTGCGGACATTTCTTGGTGCTCGTGGTTTCACCACGGTGTACCTTCTCAGACCTTTCAGAGACGCGACAGACAAACCTTGCGGGCACGGAGGTGGACACCTCAAGCGTGGTAGGTTACCGCCAGGACCAGGAATCCACAACAGCGTGGTAGGTTTTGGCCCAGGACCTATCAAGCGGATTCAGATTCCCCAAGCGTGGATTCCTCAACAGTCCAGGACTTTGTGAGGAATCGGTGTTTTCTCCGGCGCCTGGACCAGGGGCAGGTCGTCAGTTCTGACTGGAGGTTCTTCGAAGCGCTCGTGGAGGTGCTTTTCTCACCCTGAAGACCCAAAAGGCCATGAAAGACCTATAGCTACAATCCGTATAGGACCCAAACCCCGCCACAACGAGGTCGGTTCGCCATGGCAGGTGGGAGTCCTCTTGGTGGACAAGTCCCAGCTTTTGAATGGCCACTGCACCGAGGCCGAAGATGACCACTGCATCCTCCGGTTCGGTGGTTCAGCTGTGCCGTCTAAGGCCCCAAACCAGCCTGGACCAGGCCTGAAACATGTCCAAGACAATAGAACAGCAGCTGAACCGATAACCGTACTTGGTGGAACATGCCGGTCCTCATACCCACCAAAAAAGAAGGTACGGTACGAACGGCAGAGACCGTTTCACAACCGTTTCAGTCCACGACACGATGTAGATCGATGTAGATCCCTAAAGTAAAAAGATATCGATCAATATGATCCATATAAGCCCAAAGTTATATGTTCCCTCAGTGGAGAAAAGGAAGTATAACTTAAGTTCCTTTTGTGGTCACCGATGGTCACCAGAAAACACCGGAAGTCGACCGCTCTGAGAACCGCTCCAGGTCGATCCTGCTTGGCTTGAAGAAGTGTCGGTGGTGCAACTCCCAGGATCCACCGCTGAATCGACCAGGTCGGTGGCAGCCCTGACAGCATCGAACATACAGAGAAATGGGAGCTTGGTGAGAGGGAAACACATGGGTTTTTCAAGGTGTGGTGATGAGAACTTTACTCGAACAATGTCAAAAAATGACGACTGGTGAGCGAAGGATTTCTTTACAGTACATACCAGGACCCCCCAGTGGTTGATGGACATCCCTTAGAACTGCTAAGGGGCTGTAAATAGACTCCTCTTGGGGGGTCCTACCTATGTACCTGGAACATTCCAGGACTCTTTGCCGAATTTTGCTGAAGGCCTTTGTGATGTCTTGCAAGTGGGTGAATTCCCAAACCATGGACGTGTTTCATTCAGGTTAGCCACAAGCAATCGGCTTCGGTCGATGCTGAATCAGATCCCGCGACGGCCGTCATGCTGGGGCTTCGTGGCTCAGCTGGAATGTAAACAAGTTGCCTTTCAAATGCTTCAAAACGATCCCCTTCTGATTATTTGGGTGGGCTGGTAGCTCGCTTGTGGTAAGACGTCACGACACTTCGTCACTTCGAAAAACTCTTCCCATTGAAGAGATCACCCCTCGCGGTGACTGCCTCTAGATCCCACCCTCCCTTTTGCTTGAAGTATTTGAAGTCTTAGACCAGCCTTTCGAGTCCGCTGCGAAGCGGATACGATCCCCAGGTCTTAGCCGCCGACCTCCAAAGGGCTCTATGCAGGTGCATCCCTAGGGCTTGAAGGACCTCCGAAGATATATTTGGACCCCCTAGCCCACCCACCCCAAACACCTTCTCAGAAGGTACTTGGAACCCTAGGGCATGGATCCTATCCAGGATCATGATAAGTCTGCCCTTCACTCGCCAGCAATGACTGAGGCCCTACGGCTCCTGGCTCACCAGGGCTGGTCCCAGCTCGCTGTAGTGACGGAAGACCAGCCGCTCGGAGGTCATGTTAGCATGTATCACCTTTTGGTATCACCGTTGAACCACCTGAAAGGTTCTTCCTTTGGGATTTCGATTTCATTAATCCCCACGTCTGAAACACCTTTTGGATTCATGTTAAAATACATCACCTTTGAGTCCCATGGAGTAACTATCGTCACAGGAGTGTAAGATTTCTTTCAACAGGGCTGTCGCCCTTTTCTTTGACACAAAAGCTCAAAAGCGGATCAAAATCAAGGCTTTCAAGAACATCCACAAGATTTGCATGCACACGTGTCCTTTCACATGGTTTGGATGGATAACCTTTGAATTTGAACTTGGCTCTAAGAGCTAGCGACATGTTTGCCCACGTAGACTGAACAAAATATATCGACCATCGGCTCTTATGGCCTGACATTCGGTCTATTCGGTCTATCGGCCCCCACGGAAAAACCAACTCATCGATCTCCAGAGGTGACCGGTCACACGGTCGACCGTATTGTTTGCGAGGTCACCGGTCTCCTTTTTGAGTGGTGGGTGATGGTGGGAGATGAAAAACCGCTGTGTTTTGTTTGTCAAAGAAAGGAAGTGGGTGATGCTGGTTCTGATTCTGTCCCATGATTCATCCATGTCCACTTTCTGCCACCCAGGTGGTATCAGGCGGAGCAGTCTGCCTGGCCAATTTGAAAATGCAACGGAGGAGGTGTTGAGGTCTTCCTAGATCATAGACAGGCCTTGAGTTGAATCTGAGGCCTAGTCAAGGGGCCTTTCAGATTGATGTCACGAGTTCGGGTGGTGACTTTCCTGATGTGCACAAAGACCTTTGGCTGATCGAGAGAACAAGAAAGGCTTTATGAGAGGTGGTAGAAGGTACTTGAACTCCCAACGCAAGGATCCATGTCACCTTCAGAACTTCAGGACTAAGTAGACTATGTAGATTAGGGTCACATGTTATGTTTATGTAAATGCTATGTAAACCATGGGCAACGAAGGCAATACACTTGATCATATATCATATATATATATACATAGAGAGAGAGAGATCTGTCTTACTTTGTCTTGTTCGTTTGTAGGCCTTCTTCTGCTTTTGCATTCTTGGCCAGGAAGATGGCATTCCTGGAAGCCTCTGCCGCATTCACAGTAGGAGTGAACATCATGTCAGTGTTGCAGCTAACTCCCCCCCACTTTGATCAGGTCTGCGGGTCTCCGGATCTCTTGGAGGGGTTGTCATAGCTTTCGGGTAGGTTAATGATTGGCGTAGCTAGCGGGATGGAGTCTTTGGCAGCTTTTGCCCGCTCTGAGTTGGCGAAGACTCCACCGTTTGTGCAAGAAAAGGTTTGGGCCAGGTGAAGTAACACCAAGAGTTGGTCCAATCCACTGCTTTCGAAGATGGTAGCCGGAAGACTCCATGCTTTTCGTCGCAGACGCAAAAGGCACTTTTGTTTGGTTCCGGGATGGACTGATCCAACAGACGAGGTTATCCTGCTATAGGCTGTGATTTTCTGTGAGCAACGCCAGAGTCTGCAGTGTTTGATCCATCACCCAGGATGAAGGGCCATCGGATATACCAGGTTCGTGAACTGCAACTTTCTAGTTAGCTTTTATGAGGGCAGTTCTTGCTTGCTGTTTGCAGTTCTTCGCTGCCAGCTGTATTTCGTCCTCCACTCCTAGGTCCGAGAACCACTTCCTTTGCAACGCATGGAGGGGAGTAAAAAAGGCGGTCGCACTGCTGCGCTATGGCGATGAGAACTTCAGACGTGGATCCGAAGATGCCCGAGAGTGAAGTAGGACCTGTTTTGATCCTTTTGGAAACCAATGGCGATTCCTGTTCAAAGGAGGGTTTGCTTTTTCATGACCCTTGAAATCTCTTGAATATTGCTGAAGTCGTTGGTAGATCCCTCACCATTCTTGTTGGGTGCGATCATTGTTTCCCCTGTTATTCAAGTGCTTGCCGCTTTTGTTCATGTCCAATCTGATCCCACTGGCGCCGCATGTCCGTTCCCTGGTCCGCCCGTTTGTTGCCCGTCTCGCGGACGGACAATGCCTTCCACTCGACCATGACCGATGTTTGTTGTTGCTCTATAGTGGTTTTGTCCCCTTTTCCGAAGGTACCTAACCAGATCCAGATCTTTACTGGGCCGTGCTCCCCAGGATCCCACATCGGGTGATGGGTTGCAGCCTGGTCTCCACCAACCATCCCGATTCAGATCTACCCGTCTTGTGTGGAGAATTGGTCTACCTCGTCTTCTGACAGATCGAGCCATTTCTGCATGTTCTATAGATATGAAAGTTGATCGCCTCCAGGCAGGTAGAAACAACAGCTTTTTAGACCTCTTTAGCATATTGTCATGTCTTCCGTCTACAACACTAGTAACCAAGGGCATCGCGAACCGAACGGAGCGATCCGACGCTACGTACTAGTATAGCTCCTGGCCTGACTACGAGTAACTAGAAGCTACTAGGGGCCGTTGGGTCGTGACGTGAAGTGCTGTCGGTTGCCGTCCAGCGCGCGCGCGCCATCCATCGAGTGGTGTCCGTTGCCGTGTCCTCAAGTCCAAGTGATGGAAGACGGGGACGAAGCCTCATGGATCCTCACCATTCCACGAAACAAGTAAGACCGACAACATCCAAGTAATGGTACTGAGAGGTAGTTTGGTGATAATATAGCAAAGGTGGATTGAGAGGTAGAGCCTGCCCAAAAATATTCCTGAAGTTCCAAAAATGTGCAATCTATGATGTACGTTAGATTCTAACCCAAACAGCTTCAATCAGCGCGACCTCCGATTTGCAGACGTGGACTGCCGGCATGCGGAACCGCGTTCGACGCGGATGTGCTGCGGGATGCAGGTGTGGCCTGTCACTCGGTATAATCGCTCAGGCCAACTACCAGGATTGTCTTCAGAGCTGAGGGTAATTCGTGCATGGTCATTCTAATTGCCAACAAGGACAAGATAGTGCGGAGCACATGCTGCATTGTGTTATTATATATGTGATTCGGATGTGTTGTTCTTCGTGTTTGGTAGCAACTTCCTGCAGTCAGGTCATGTGTGTTGTTTCGTTGCTCTTCATCCATTGAAAGAAGTGTCACACATATTGGTGGGTTGCTAGTCACTTGCTTTCTATTACTTTACCAGTTTCGGTCCTGGTGTTGCATGATTTTGCAATACCCAGACACTCCATGGGACTGCCGTATATGCGGATCAATTGACCCCCTGGCACCACCCCAACTGATCGGCATATATGGCAGTCCCATGGGTCGTGTCTGGGATATTTTGCATATTGGAGTTACACTCCGGAAAATTAACATGGAACCTGAAAAACACTGGGTTGTAGAGGAAAATAGCCTTCCAAAGGTCAATTGTCAGGTTCCATGTTAGTCTTCCCGGGTGTAGTCGATATTGACCACGGACCCCATCAGTTGGCGGTCAGGCGCAGGCGCGCTGTACAAGCGGCCTGCTGTACAAGCGGCAAAGGTCGGGGAGAGAGGGCCAGAGGGTCAAAGGGACATGCCGGAAACATTTCCCAACAGTCAGAACTGCTCCAACAAATTCAGCATGTTCGGAAGTTTGGTCGATGTTGTTATTAAGAACACAAACTGGGAAACGAGGCCAAAAAAGCAGTTGCTTAACATTACAACGAAAGCAATTGAGAGAACTGATCATTTAAAATGTACTCTTCCATTCCACAGAACAATCACTTGTTTGGGCAGGCGTGTAATTTTTGCATTTGTTTCATGATCTAATCCCATCAAACAATTGTGTAAACATTGTAAACAAACTCCTGATAGGGCTGATGAATTGGGCCGACTTCACACAATAGCGACTGCCAGTGGGAAGAGAGCCAAAGCTCAAAGCTCGGGCGACCCCCGCCACCAACCCCACAAGTTCGGAGGTCCATGTGTCGGGTGGAAGGCCACCGATGTCACCATTTGAAGTCCGAGGACGGACTCGAACATCAACATCAGTCAGTTCAGGGTAGTTCAGTTCAGTCGGTCTGTGCTGCTGGTTGTTTATTCTATATTGGATTCTATTGGGGTCCATCACTGCATTTTATATCTATAAAATCAGAAGCAGGACCTCAGGACCCCCCCACCCCAGGATTGTACCATCCATTTGGAAGGCATTGATGACATTTGATGATCCAAAGGTCGATTGGGCCCTCCTTGCTTGCCACTTTCGATGATTGTGCATTCCTGCCGAGTTCACCCAAATTCGGCATACTGTAAGTGGAACCCCAGTTCGATCCCCATGTTTCAGCCATGGAACCGAGCTCAGTTCCAACATGACTAACCTGGGGAGGATTAATTCATCATCCTGGTGGCGCCTGGCGACATATTCTTGGTGTCACTTGAAACCATCCAACTAGTGAAGTTTTCAACCCAACCCAAGAACATGGCCAGGTGCTACGCCACCAGCAGTGTGCTGTCGATGGACGGCGGGCGAAAGCGGCGGCTGCGGGCACAGCCGCGTGGAGAAGACCAGCAGTGCGCGTGGGCAGGGTGGTTGCTGTGGCGTTCGAAAGAATGGAACACTCTGCCAGGATTCTCAGGGCATGGAATAATGGCTGGAACATGGGGATTCTGCAAGGACATTCTGCAAGGATTCTCAAGGATTACAGCTTGGTATCCAATTTGTGAGTAGTTGTGTGTTTTTCGCTGGTGCGTGCCATTAATATTGATTCATTTGTCTTGGATTTGATCAAGTGTTTGGTGGGGGGGCATTATGTGAAATTGTCCTGAGGCCAAGACGTCCTTTGGTTTGCTCTGCTCTGAGGACTGCGCATGTTGTGGCTTTGGGCCGACAGACTCAGTGGCCAAAGGCATTGGAGATCTTACAGCAGAGGTGGGGGAAGGGGCTCGTGAGTGACTGAGTGATCCTCCAGCGGAGGGGGGGCGAGTACGTGGGCAATCTTCAACGATCTTCAATCTATTTGTTTATTTGGATGTTATTCTTTGGATGCAAGATGAGTGGCGGGTGAAATAGCAATTACTGTACCAGGAATTTGCGAGTGGTTCTGCAGCATGACTAAGTCATACTGTAAGGATACCAACTGTTTCCAAGATGGTGAGATTCCTTGGACTGAGGCTCAAGGGAATTGCTGTAGAACTTCTAAGATTTGATCCGATCCTTCCAACCCCAGACGAACATCGTGCAGACGAAAATCAATCTCAGGATCCTGATACATAGCTTCTCATTGGTGCTGCTGGAAGTGGATTTCCCAATGAGGTTCCTCCACGCGTGAGGTTCCTCTTCATCTCATGGACCATATTCTTGAGTTAGGGGACATGAAAACCGGCCGGAATGTGGCTCCTTCACAGACCAAGTGTTCTGACAAAGGTTCCGCAAGTGTTAAACAGTCCTTGATGCTTGAACCTCACCAGTTAGGTGTTCCAAAAAGCAGGCGTGGGTGGAACAGTCCGTCCCAGAGGAAGGATTTGAAGACCGCCCAGAATTCTCGTTCACCACTCAGTGAGCTCACCCTCCGTTCCAGCAGCTAAGTGTCACGCCCACCGAGCGGTCTTCGCCTCAGCCACTCGGAAGCTGATGAGAAGCTCTACACGGCGGTGTGCGGGGCTTTAGAACGTGCCAGTGCCTGGCAGCAGGCCGCGGTGGGCGAAAACTGAACGTGCATGAAAATGCGTGGTGAAACTGGGTTTTGTTGTCCTTTCGAGGTTCTCAACATCATATTGCCTGCAACTCGTTCTGGAGGGGAAAGATCGCACATGATCAGTTTCTAAAGAGTTTAAGATCTATCTATAGATATATCTATAGGAATAGTTCCATGATCTTCCATGTATATAATACTTACCCAGTACTTTGTTTTCGACTGTTCCCTGGACGGTGACGGACCAGGTGCTTCGTCTTCACGGCCGTGCTCTGGAGACGGTCCAGCACGATGAGCGCTTCCGGGCTGACGGGAGACTGGGCGATGGGGACAGGTGGAAAAGGGCGACGAGACGGCTCGGCTGGCTAGACATGGGTTTGGCTTGTGTTGGAAGCGGTGTGAAAACTTCTAGGACCCTCCAGGTCACCACTGATTCTTGGTGGGTTGAGTGTTTTAAGGCCGAAGAAGGATCCATTTCGCAGATCTATTATTGGAGGATCCTAGGAACAGTGACCTGTTCAAGTTCCTACCCCAAAGGAGGCTCATCATTCCGGTTCTCCAGTCAGCAACTTCACATCCCCGTTCATACCTTGTGGATCCCTTGTGGCATTCATCAACAAGCACTCTGACCACTCATCCAAGTTCGCAGGTGTTTGTGTCCCACATTTCAAGTACCCTAGGGATCCCTAGGGATCCAAGTACCTTGGTGATTGGAGGCGCTGTTATGTAGGTTTGGAGGGTCCAAGTACCTTGTGAGAAGGTACGACTGGATCCCTACAATTAATCAATGCATCATGAACGACCTCAATGTAAACGACTCGTTCCATCCAAATGGATTCACTGAGAGACGGGTCCACGGTGGAACCAGGGAGACGGCGACGCCGGGGAGACGACATGTTTTGGAACGGACCCATTCAAAAGCGAAGCCAGGTGGAACCAATCCTCGGGTGAACCACCAAGAGATGTTGAACAGCCCAGCGCCCATCTGAGATGTACACCAAGGGGGTTTTTGTATGTTTTTAGTTAAACCATCTTAAGCCTTTCTTCTCAGATGTCAAATTCTGTTCCAGGTGTTCTCCTAACCGAACTGTTCCGAGACAAATCCATGTGGTCAATGTGTGTGTGTGTGTGTGTCCAACCCTGGACAAAGGGTTTTCCACCACCACTCTTTCTATCCTACATGAGCAGGGGAGTGGAGCAGGCTTGCAGAGCTCCACTTAACAAAGCTCTCTGCAGTGTCCTGAGGATATCGGCCAGGACGCTGGCCGACGTACTTGCTCGTTTTTTTCACAAGCTGTTACTCCAATCTTCCGTTTTTGATTCATGGTTCTTCACGTTTTCCACCCCATAAACACTCGTCCCCAGCAGCTGCGCCGCCGATTTGATTGCTGCCGCCTTTGTGACAACAATGTTAAACCTTTCAAGTGCTCGGACCCATGCACCTTTCTGTTCTCTCACCTTCCTTCCCAACGTGACTTGCGTTAACTGAAAACCCAAGTTCGAAGTGTGTCCTGCTCAGCCGTCCCACTGTGGGTGCTGAGTGTGATCCCCGTCACAGGGGCGCCGATCTTGCATGGGAAAGCAACCACCCCAACGCACCACCGCTCACTGGACTCTCACAGGAAGGCACCGACACCCTCACAGAATCAACTGCCACACCGGCCGCCGGGCCAAAAAACGGTTTCGTGAAGAATACTTCGGATTTCAACTTTCAGTTCAGATTTCGGAGTCATGTCAACTCGCTAGCCTGAGCACACTTGACGGCTAAGTATTCACATGCCTGCGCTGCTAAGTATTCACAGGCCGGATGAATTCATCATGCACAACCCCCCCCCCCCAGGCCTCCGTTGCTATCCCACCCGCTACTCGGGAAGCAGAAGGAAATCGCACTCAACACACTTGTGTGTTGGTGCCTTTCCTTCTGTTTCTCCTAGCTATTGCTAGCTACCCGGGCGGTTTAAGACGAATGTCCCGCTCGCCTTCTACTTTCGTTTAACTAAGTGGGCCTCGTAACTACCCTACTCTTCTTTCTTGCCCTCTTAGTCTGCTCTTGTTTCGTTGCTTTTTCTGTCTTTCTAAGGCTTTTTAGGTGTCTACTAGTTCTTCGTTGCGCCAACAATTTGGCGCTTTTTGTACAAATGTTCCTCTGGGAGTTAGGACGCTACTGGAGGCCCCTGGCCTTACTACTACTTTGACCGCGCCGAAAACGGCTCTGTGTGTGTGTGTCCACCCCTGGGCAAAAAGGTTTTCGTCCACTGGTTCAACGGTAGGGGGTGTCTTGAAAAAGCGCCGAACGCGGCGACCTGTGTGTGTCCAACCCTGGACAAAGGGTTTTCCACCACCACTCTTTCTATCCTACATGAGCAGGGGAGTGGAGCAGGCTTGCAGAGCTCCACTTAACAAAGCTCTCTGCAGTGTCCTGAGGATATCGGCCAGGACGCTGGCCGACGTACTTGCTCGTTTTTTCACAAGCTGTTACTCCAATCTTCCGTTTTTGATTCATGGTTCTTCACGTTTTCCACCCCATAAACACTCGTCCCCAGCAGCTGCGCCGCCGATTTGATTGCTGCCGCCTTTGTGACAACAATGTTAAACCTTTCAAGTGCTCGGACCCATGCACCTTTCTGTTCTCTCACCTTCCTTCCCAACGTGACCTGCGTTAACTGAAAACCCAAGTTCGAAGTGTGTGTCAACCCCTGGGCCAAGGGTTCACCACCACCGACTTTTCGACTTTCGCCACTTTTTCCACCAAGACAGAAGCAGGGGCGTCAGGCTCGACACACCTACCTGACGCAACGAAGCTATGGTGTGTCGAGGGAAGCAGTCAGAGATGTCTGACTGTGTACCTGCGAATGTTTCACAAGCTGTGACTCCACTTTTTCCTTGTTTGTTTCCATGGTGGTTTTCATGATACTTCCCACAAACCTACTCTTCCCCAGCAGCTGCGCCGCCGATCGTCCACTGACGTGCAGTGTTGTTTAGCAGAGCGAGGGAAACTATGTTCAACATTTCAAAGGATCGGACCCAATCACCTTACCGTTCCACCGCCTTCCTTCCCATCGTGGAAACTGAGTCTAACTGAAAACCAATGTCGAAGTGTGGACCGCTCAGTCTTCCCACATGGGTACTGGGTGTGACCCTCCGAAAGGAGGCGCTGAAATCATGCTGGAAATCACCGACCTTTCATTTTTATTACTGTCTTCCTGTTTGTTCAATTCTATCACTGAATTAACGGATTTTCGAGCCGCCGGGCTATAAACGATGGACTACCCAGAAGAATTTCTGAATTCCTTCTGTTTTTGCATTGCCATGATGTCGGTTTGTGCATTTTGCGTTTTTCAATTTTAATCCGCAGCCATTTGATCAGCTTCCACATGGTCTACACCACTTCGCATTGCACTGCATGCCACGACTTCACCTTACTTCTCTTCACTGCAGATCCACTCAGGTTCCAGAATCTATCGTTGCAACTATACGCCCAAAAAGGGCACGACCTGCAAGCGTGCAGGCGGTTTTTGAGAAAAGGTCCGTTCCCCACTGCTTTGGTTTTTTGCGCCGATTGCGGCTTGTTGTGTGTGTCAACCCCTGGGCCAAGGGTTCACCACCACCGACTTTTCCACTTTCGCCACTTTTTCCACCAAGACAGAAGCAGGGGCGTCAGGCTCGACACACCTACCTGACGCAACGAAGCTATGGTGTGTCGAGGGAGGCAGTCAGAGACGTCTGACTGTGCACCTGCGAATGTTTCACAAGCTGTGACTCCACTTTTTCCTTGTTTGTTTCCATGGTGGTTTTCATGATACTTCCCACAAACCTACTCTTCCCCAGCAGCTGCGCCGCCGATCGTCCACTGACGTGCAGTGTTGTTTAGCAGAGCGAGGGAAACTATGTTCAACATTTCAAATGATCGGACCCAATCACCTTACCGTTCCACCGCCTTCCTTCCCATCGTGGAAACTGAGTCTAACTGAAAACCAATGTCGAAGTGTGTGCGGTTTCTCGGTTTCGGCTCCGCCCGTCCAACGTCCCCGGACACCGGCCGCGTCACGGTCGTGGCTGCAAGGCTTCCTGGGCCTGGCTTGCTCGGCGTGCAGCAAGGGCCGTGCCTGGAGACATGCGCTCAGCTTGGCCGTGGAGACCGGCCATTTGGCAAGGAGCAGGGAGCTGGGAGCAGGTTTCGAGCGGAGGCCATCTAGATGGTTTGGAAGACCTTATCCAAAGTGACTACATGTCTTTTCTCGACAGCTTGTGTTTCAGCTCTACCAGTGGGCAGTTCATAGCAAAGAAACTAGAATTAGGTGAAGCCTGAAGATTGCTCGGGTATGCTAGGATGGGTACCTGCAAAGACGCTGATGGACCCTTTCAGTTTGGATGATACTCTTCACCCACACGTTGATGTGATCGGGACTTGGGCAATGGATCATCACGTGGGTCGCTTGGGTTGCCGTGTTGCGCGAGTGGTGTGGGCGCCGGTCGCCTGTCGCTCATACGTTGCTTCCCCCCCCTGGCCCGGCCCTGAGCTTGGCCGGGCCAGCGCTGTTCAAGGTTTTTCAGCATGTTTGTGACCTAGTATGACCCCAAATGCTCAAGGTAGAGGGATTTCCATGTGTTTTTTTCCCAACTAAAGCCTGCCGAGGCGAGCCCTGCCATGGATCGTTTCTGGCTTGGTTCACTAGACTCTGGACATTTAAATGAAAATATATGTTCTGTCAACCAATGGAGGTATTGTTTTTCTATGTTCGACCCCTACCTGACAACTTTACGGATGAAAACCATGCAAGTGACTCATTTTTGGTTGAAACCACCAAAGTACTGGCGCAAAACATGTCGTTGTTTGTTCTTGCTTGTTAAATGCGTTAAATGGGACGGACATGGACATGGACAGACCTTTTCTTTAATGTTTGCCATTCGAGCTCTTCTGGCCGCTCCAGCACCCGAACCGCTTCTGGTCTCAAGGTCTTCAGAGGCCCGAAACGGCCAATGCTCTTTTGACACTTTTCATGCACTTTTGGCCGGGTGTGGAGCTGGTGGTCGAAGTCACCGGGCTGCTGGATTGTTATGTGATTCGGCGGGTCATTTCAGGTATTTTGAAAATTACAGTCATTGCTCCAGTTCCTCAGCGTGATACCATTTCTGTTGAAGATATGGCAAGAGCCCACTCGAGATCCCAGGTTGCTTCCCTAGCAACAGGCCAATAATGTGGTTGACCAATTATACAAATAGTGGGGGCCTCTTTTTAACGTTCACGCATAATTGACACATTGATTCCTTCCTACTCACAATTTGCAGCATACAGCATACCTCGAAAATTAAGCAGAGACGAACCATTTGCCGTTCACGCAGTTCATGGCTAGCATTCACATGGTTGCGATTAGGTACAGGATGAACATATTGGGCTGCTGTTAAGCCCTTGTAGAGTTGTTTTCCATGCAGGGATATATACAGGGATATACAATAAATGATCAATCAATTGAGGTGAACAGCGGTAAAGCTGTTGATTATTTTGACATGTCGACTTGATGGACAATGGTTCCCCACCACCCACCACCTTTATATAAGGTATGTGTACCCCAGAACGTGTGTGATGAGTTGGCCCGTGCGCACGGGAAACCCATGCGGAGCCTTGACCAAGACGAGTCCCTGTCAAGCAGGGAAAATCATACTGACTGAGTTCTTTGAGTTCCTTCCTAAGCGCAGGGAAACCCATGCGGAGCCTTGACCGACCAAGACGAGTCCCTGTCAAGCAGGGAATCATACTGACTGAGTTCTCTGAGTTCCTTCCTAAGATCTCTTATGTCTACCCAAAAATAGATTACTGTAATACAATGCCTGGGTCAGCTCGTGCTGTTCCCTTTTTAAGGCACGCTTTTTTTTTGACGACTTTTGAGGAGTTGCCTGGACTACAGTGGCCAGTGGCAGCTGGTTCTCCAGATCTTGCCCTTGGCCGCAAGGAGAGGGGATCGGGGGGATCGGTTCCAAAGTGGTTTGGCAGCTTTGGCTATGTATCAAGAAGCAGGATGTCTATACTGACCAGATTGGTCGGCCGAAGATAGGAAAACACATCTGAAGCAGAAATCGCTGCGCGCGCTCTCTCTCTCTCTCTCTTTATCTCTCTCTTTGATTGAAGACCTCGTCCAATCCGACAGGGCCATCTTTCCCAACAACAGGATCACCGTACCGTAATCTGCCTGACAAAAGCTGGACGGTCTATGCGTCTATGCGTGTGGGCGCGAAAGAGGCTAACATGGCTAACTAACCTCGGTTAGACAACCAACCCTGGCCCTGTTTGGACAATCACCATTCTTCGAGGCATCCCAAGCTATGCAAAAGCTCAAGGGATGCCAGCTCAAAGTCTTGCACCATCAAGTTCAACACGGTTCGCCATCATATACAAAAGTAAAGCATAACAATATAACATAATTGGTCTTCCCGTCTTCCCCAAGTCTCAAGTGTGCTGACGATGTCATTTGTTCAGAAGGCACAAACTTGGTTCCCAGTTGGCTGTTACTCGTAGGTAGAGATCATTGAGTCGGGTGGCCTTTGGTCTAGTCGTCAAGAACATGAACAACACACAAAGAGAAACATTCCAGGAGTCACATGGGGTTGGGTGGTGTGGCTCGTCCCCTCCAGGGGCCGTGGATGTAGCCCCCCCCTACCCTCGGATCGCAGCCCGTCGAACGTGACTGCTGGTTGAGGTGTGTTCCTTGCTCTTTCAGGTTCTTTCAGGTCCTTTGCCATTCCAACGTTTCGTTTGACCAGCAAGGAGCCTGGACCGTCGTGTTATCGCCTGTGAGACACTGTTATCGCCTGTCGTTTGGAGGTGAATTAACATAGGGAGACCTCCCAGGCGCTCCAACCCCCCTTTTCTTGGTATACCAAGAAAAGGGAAATAGACCAGTCTACATGGTGGCGCAAATAATATCGCCTACATGACTGGTGGTGTTTGGCGGTTTTTTATTTAAGGTTATTTATACTTGTATATATATACATGGATCATTTAGGAGAGCTCCAGGAGCACATGGCCTCCACCGAACGGTTTCAGGTCTCAACTCCCTGAGCTCGATGTGGTCGCCTTCGGTTGCGCCATCAGCGCCTGCGCCCGCGCGGCCCAGTGGCGCCACGCCACGGCGCTGCTGTGGCAGTCCGCAGAGGTGGCGGATGAGGTGGGAAAACTGCTTCAGAGCCGGACCGGGGGGGGTTGGAAGCAACAGGAGCTTGGATTTGATTTGGGGAAGGAGTTGGGAATCTCTGGAATGCTGTTAATTGTTGTGTTGTGCAGATGATGAAGGGTACCCTGATATATTTTTGTTTCAAGAGGGTTTGCAGTGGAAAGGATGTTTTCGCTCATAGGTGGTCTCCCCGCTGCACCCAGCCTTGAGTTGTACTGCCTGCAGTCTGAGTGGCACCCAGTAACTCTATAGTTACTGCACCTAAATTGGAACCGTCAAGTCATCTCGTCTCTTGAGAACCAGAGATAACCAGAGAAAGTCCATACAACACATACCAGGACCTTCAAAGTGACCTTTTGAGATCTCGGAATGAGGTCACTTAGACCCCAAAGAGGCCACTTAGAGACTCGAAAGAGGTCACTTGGAATGTTGGATCCACGATTTGATATAGCTAGGCTCCTTCCCACCTTGGGACCAGCCAGGTGACCTTGGGTGCAGCAGTCAGTGCTTGCGACAAGGGCCACGAGTGGCAAATGGTCGCTTGGAGGACGAGAAGGTGCCGCAACGAAGAGAGATCGATTCAATTGTCGCTGAACATCTCCTCAGTTATGTGGAGAGCTAGAGATAGGTGCCTCTCAAGTGAAGTTGGGCAAAGAACCCTGGCAGAATGGGAAGTGGTGGACTTAAACCCTTGGCTAGCCGGATACACAAAAACCCAGGCTGTGACACGATGTAGTCTTTCGGAATTCCGCCACTACAGTCGCCACCGATTTGTGGTCTGAGGACCGTAACTGGAATCGGATGGAATCGGAGATCCGCGGGCGTGTCGGCCGTCGGGAGCGACGAGGAGCGCGGGGCTGGTTCAACCTTTGAGAGTCTGAAACATCCTGAAACAACCGAGACATCCTGCTGTTTCTGGTTGCGAATTCGGCGGGAATTGGGCTCTAGGAGTGAAAAGCTATGGAACCCAGGAAACGCTAAAGGGATTGGTATTGGCCACCAGGGGCAATGATCATCCAGTGTATTACTCCAGATGACAACCGTTCAACGAGTCTGCATGACGGTTCGTTGACCATATCAAATCCAACAAATCAAAGACGTGGCTCTGAGTGCCCCCGCTGCACGTCCGGTCACCTGCATTGTGCTGCATGTACTTGCGGTTCATGGTGAAAAAGGAAAGCGTGCCTCTTTGCCTCACCCTGGATTGCCACCTCCAATGTTGCCTTGCATGAATAGGCAAGGGCAATATGCGCCTCTTCGGTTGTGGATGCCCTTCCCGAAAACAAATTCATCGGATGAATGATCGGTTGGATCCATGGTTTTGCTGTAATTTCGATCCTCAAGGTCCGGTGGCTTGGAATGGATGTTGCTGGTTTTGGATCCAGGGAGGCAGTTTCCTTTGCGCAAACGCACACAGATTTGTATAGCGAATAGCAGGATGTCGAAGTGGATTCCCAACATCGCACCCAGGCCTGCGCCTTGTTGTTGGCCATGCCTCAGTATCTTGGGCCGATGAATCTGTAAACTATTCTAAACTCTGTTGGAGGCGGGGGTTCAATTTGGGTACCCATCTGGCTGGATTGGTTCAGGGTTATTTATATATATATACATACATGTTCATACATGTTCTAGGAATAGCAAGCTG